TACAGTGGGGGCAGTGTACTAATCGAGTGATCACTTGGTGATTCACGTGTTGAAAAGATAGGGGAGAGGTGGCCTCTAATCTTTTCTTTGCAAGTTGGATTTTGAAGTGATACTTCTTTTGCTCTTCCACCATTGCCAATCTCACATGTTCTCGATGAGTGGAACTCCATTCTCAATGACCAGGTAGTGTTTTTCCACAGACGGCGCCAAAATGATGTGGTACGGTTCCACTTCACGTTTTGCAATTCCTCCCTCGCACTTCTTGATTCCTCGCATGGGCACCACCTCCATCATAAAAAAAATGTTTGGGGTCTAGGATCGGTCCCCCGAAAATCCTCTAATGCTCAAGTCATCTTTGAATGATAGAAAAATTCAGAGAATTCAAGACAGGGGAGATCATGGATTAACGTCACCAGAAAATCATGAAAGAAAGCCTCTCATAAAGAGAGAAAAAGGAGCCTCAGAGAGAGAGAGAGAGAGAGAGAGAGAGAGAGAGAGAGAGAGAGAGAGAGAGAGAGAGAGAGAGAGAGAGAGAGAGAGAGAGAGAGAGAGAGAGAGAGAATTGTTGCGTATCAGTAATAACAAATAGCTAGTGGATCAAATTATTTTGCCATAAAGACATTATATAAGGCCAATAAGAAAAACTAAGTCTGGTAAATTGCACTTCAACCCCCTATAAATTTCTAATTTCTCAACCCCCACCCCCCCCCCTAAAAAAGGAAAAAAAGTTTCCCCCTTCAAAATATTACTTTTGGTGCACATTTCGTTGATAGCCTAATTCCGATGAGTTACTCACTGGAATTGAGTCCTTGGTGTTTGTATTGGGGAGAGATCGTATAGGATAAACAGAGGGAGAGAGAGTTGAAAAGAATTTTGAATTGGATTTAGTCCCATACGGAGAAAACAATAAACAAATGAAAAATTCTTGTTAAGAGTCGAATTGAATTTTATCATCAAGGACAACAAATGCCCTTGGGCCCTATAATTTTTCAGACGTACACTTTCCCTCCTAAAATTTAAAAAATGAGACGACCCCTGTAAAATATGGTTTTGGTTGCACTTTTCCCAAAAATCCAATCTTTGGTGGGTAACAAAACAAAATTACATTTTAAAGAGACAACACGTAAAACAAAAATAACAATTTTAATGGGGCAACGTGCAAAGCAGTTAATATCATTAAGGGACATTTATAACGTGGCTTCAGTTGTACGAGACAGTGACGTACGATGCGCGGGTTGGTCGGTGTGAAGCTTTAAAATGCGACCGTGGGCGGTGGAAGAGGAAGCTCACGTTGATCTCGAAGTGCTAAACATGGCTCGTTCTCACAGCTGGAGCTCGATTATTCTTGAAGGGGATTGCTTAGAGGTTATCAACACTTTTAAAGATGAAGATCATGAATTTGCACCTTTTGGAGCTTTTATCTACGATGTCGTAGCAATAGCTTCATCGTTTATATTTTGCGATTTGCAATTTATTAAAAGAATCGGTAATCATCTTGCCTATAAGCTAGCGTCTCATGGAAAAATTCAAAGTAAGGAAGGACTTCATCTTCCTTCGGATTTGACAATTTACCCTTAAAAGATTTTTTTCTAATCTCTTTCTCACATTTTCAATTTCAAATTGGAGCAATTTGCTATAGGTCCCTCAATATTATAATTTATGTGTATAGATCCAAGTCAAAATCTCCATGTTTTAATAAATTAATAATATTTATTGTGCCAAAAATATCTTTAGTCAAATCAAATTAAATCCCCCAAAATCTCTCTATCAAAACAAATTCCCAAACATCTCTCTTCCAAATATTAACTAAGAAAATTAAATTAATTCGTAAAAAAATATACTATTTATTTTACAAACTCATACTCTAAAAACGCCACCGCCGCCGCGCCACCGCTGTCTATGACTCCGTGAAATGCGACACATATGACTCTGTGAATCGCAAATAGCAAATTGAAAATTAGAATTTGTATAATTGAATTGCAAACAACAAAATACCTATGATTTCCACAAATGCAAACATCAAAATGAAAAAAAAAATCCAAAATTTGCATTATTGAATTGCATACAAAAAACTACCCATTACTTCTCCAAATGCAAACAGCAAACTGAAGAAAAAAAATCAGCATAACTTGCATTATTGAATGGCAAGAAATAAACTACCTATGACTTCGCCAAATGCAAACATCAAACTCAAAAAAAAAAAAATCAACATCATTAAAAACATCAACAAAAAAATTGTTTATGGAACACATTGCAAACATCAAAAACATTAAACAAAGTGTTTGTATAATGTAACTTAAGACATACCTTGCAAATTGTAAACCGAAGGAATTGAATCTCAACACCAAACGCAATTCTTCAATCAATAAACGAAGTTAAACCAACCTGCAAACGGAAATTGCTAACAACAAACGATGGGAAGGTTCCACATACGGAAGACACAATGCAAATTTTGGCTAGGATTTTAGATTTCTGATTTTCTTTTTTTGGAAGGGGGAGTGCATGTTTGTTGTCCCCGTTGATTCTTTCACCAAAAAGTTATCTCATAATCTAAAAAGATTCCTTTTTATTTTTTCCTTCTCTATAATATTTCTTCATCAAAAAAAAATAAAGAAAAAGAAAGAAAGAAAAAATGAGAAGCACGAGAGAGAGAGAGAGAGAGAGAGAGAGAGAGAGAGAGAGAGAGAGAGAGAGAGAGAGAGAGAGAGAGAGAGAGAGAAATGAGATACAAGGAGAGAGAGATGATGGACTATATATATGGTGAGAGAAACGTGAGATTGGAGAGAGAGAGAGTGATATATGAGATTTGTTTTCTTAATTAATTGAGAGTGTTTATGTCTATATACTAATTATTTTATTTTATTTATATTATTTTTTTTGGTCAAACACCTATGCCTTTATCCATCTAGCAAATTTCCTCTTTCAAAATATGATGCATGCAACTACAAGTCAATTTATAACATACCTATTAGTTAATTTAACGAATTATATGGTTATATATAAGGTTGCGGCAATATGCAATACTAATTTCACTTGTGCAAGACAAAATTAGATTTTTTCAATGTATAAATACTACAATACCCTTACTTGTTAAAAAATAGAAAAATCCAAATATGCAATACCCAAAAACTCAAAAACACAAAAAATCCTATCACAAAACCACAAGACCAACTCTTATCTTCTTCATATTTTAAACCCACAAAACCTTTCTCCTTCCTCCTGCATAAACCCACAAAACCTAAACATTCAAAATCATCAAAACTCAACAACTCTTACAAATTAAAGATGGCAAGTATGGAGTCAGAAGACATCAAAATAGAATATTCTACTGTGGAAGAACCCAAGAATGTATGCAGTTATGTGTTTTTTAGCTAGAATATCATTTTTCCAAAAAAAACACCCGACAGACGCGGTCGACATGTACAGGTCGAATTCGATACGTAAAAATAGACAATGCCATGTCGATTTTGTAGTAGCAAATTCGACATTTCACAATCTCGACTTTTCTGCTGTAAACTCGACATCACAGTGTCGATTTTTACCTAACAAATTCTACCAACTGTTGATGTCGAATTTTTTGGGTCTATTTTTCGACGCTTAAGTGTCGATTTCTAGCATAGTTTTTCGACACCTTGGGGTCGATTTTTACTAGTTTCAAATTTATTTATTTTTCTTCTTTTTCTTAAGGTTGAACTAAAATGAGAAATTAACTTTTTTGAAGCATTTTTGGGCGGATTTAGGTCGCTCATGGTTGTGAGCGGCAGGGCTGGCGGCGGCGGGGCTTGGGCGGCGCTGCTGTGACGACGAGAAGGGTTTCACAGGGAGGGGCTGGGTCTTCTCCCTTTTTTTTTTTTTATTCTACATTTTGTTTTCATTATTTGTTATTTGATCTTGCATGAGCAAACAAAAGCCAATTTAGTTTATGGGTATATGTGTTAATTTATCTTAATAAAATAGAATCTTTTGGAATTTTTCTTCAATTTGGTCTTGCACAAGTGAAATTAATATTGGATATAGCCGCAGCTTACATACAATTTATTAAAGAGTTTATTTTATATACCCCCTAGGTACCAAATAATCTAAGGATAAACTCAAGCCAAAATCATCATTTGACATACCTCATTGGAAAGGCGAAAGTACTATAATACCCTTATATGTAATTTTCAGCCAAACTGCGTTCAACATTTCTGGTTCTGCATTTAGCACTTTCGCTGATATATTTAATATTATTATTATTTTTTAAACCTGTTTGTTTATTTTATATATTTTTTATTATTTTTAATTAAAAAAATAATTTATATTTATATTTTTTTAATTTTTTTAGTTTTGTTTTTAATTATTTTTGTAAAATTAATATGTTTACAGTACTGAAAATAACTACATGTAATATTTTTATGTCAAAAAAATCCGATCCACTAGATTTTTGTGGGTATCCCCTATGTTTAAAGTCTGATACTGAAATCACGCATGTAAATGATTATATATATATAATATAATGGACTCAACACAATTATGTGCCAAGTGTAGACACAAGATAGGAGAAAAAGCTAGTGTTGACAAGTGTAGAAATAGGTGTCCTTTGCTTTTCCTAGTGTTGACAAATGTCTAATTGTAATTGGGCAAAAAGCCTATAAATAGCAATGTGTGCAAAGTAATAAAATACACTATTTTTGGCTGCACTTTCTCTCTCTATACATATATACTTATATTATATTATATTGTGTATAATATTATATTATATTAATTAGTGTGTGTATTTATACATATATACATAACCGTATATACACATATATATACAAGTTCCATATTAAATATTAAAACTAGTTAATATTGATTAATTAATAATATTCACACCATTAGTAGTTTTAATAAAATATTTAATTATCTAATATCTATTTTGCAACACGTTATCAGCACGAGGTTCTGCTCAAATATACCAAAGGTTTGTAATAATTAAAATTTTATTCTCTTTATATTTTTTAGTTACACTACTCTATATAATGGCTAGAATCGAGAAACAAAAATTTCAGATCCTCGATGTTAGTGAGAATAATTATTTATCCTGGTGCTTGGATATGAAATTACACCTCCAAGGATTAGATCTTTTAAAAACATTGGAGTGTGTAGATATCAAGGAGGCAAATCGGAAAGATGAGGCAAATGCTATGATTTTTATACGCCATCATCTTTCTGAGGATCTGAAAGATGAGTATATACAATTAGAAAGACCATCAGAAATATGGCAAAAACTCAAGGAGAGATTTGATCACACGAAAACAGTAATCCTACCACAAGCTCAATATGAGTGGCAGCATTTAAGACTGCAAGACTTTAAATCCGTTGCGGATTATAATTCAGCATTATTTAAGATTGAGTCTCGTCTAGCACTATGGGGTATAAAACTGCAAGAATTTGATAAATTAGAGAAAACTTTTTTCTACCATGCATGCTTCAAATCTTGTACTCCAACAGCAGTATAGATAACGCCAGTTTAGAACATATTCAGAGTTAATCTCTGTCCTTCTTACCGCTCAAAAGACTAATGAGTTGTTATTGAAAAATCACGATTTGCGACCCAGTGGGTCTCAAGGAGTGCCAGAAGCACATGCTAATAAAAAAACGAACCGTTTCAAAGGTCGTGGCCGAAAATTCTGGCGTGGTGCACGTAATAACAATTGGCACAATGGTCAACGTCGAGATAATCATGGAAATCTCCTAGGTGGACGTGAATATTTCCACAAAAATAATTATATGGCTAAACGAAGACAACTCGGTCATGGAAATCGTGACAAAGAAAAGCATGTTGAGAGTATTTGCAACAGATGTGGGATGAATAGACACTGGGCCAAAGTTTGCAGGACTGCCCAACACTTTGTAGATCTATACCAAAGTTCAAAGAAGAATAAAGGAAAGAGCATCCAGACGCATGCAATAGAAACAGAAAAACCAAATGTTCTTCTTGAGGCCAACACAACTGAAATCATGTCTGATCAAGCTCCTATTCATGATGCAAAGTCTCTTGAGTTGCAAGATTTTCTTATGGATATCGATTGATCGATGATCAAATACTATTAGTTTAATAGTTATTTTGAAATATGTTGTATATACGGTATATAGTCTTACCTCGGAAGTATAATTCCCGAGGTTTAGATATTTTGTATTATAAATAAAATATATGTACATGTGTAATTTCCCTTGGATGATACATTCCCAAGGTCGAACTTGTATTTTGGTATTCCAAATAATATATTGTACTTATTATTATCATTCGGACATAATGTTATGATGTAAGCATTAAATTTATATTATTTAATCAGGATATCATGGGAAGTATCGACAAAAGGGATTATTGTCTACTTGATAGTGCAACAACGCACACAATTCTGTCTAATAAAATATATTTCTTGAGTATGACAATGTGCAAAGCACAAGTTAAAACCATATCAGGTCCTGTTGAAATTATAGATGGCTCCGGGAATGCAACACTTGTATTACCTAATGGTACCACGCTACACATCGAAAATGCATTATTATCCACTAAATCAAAAAGAAATTTATTGAGTTTTAAAGATGTGAGGCATAATGGGTATCACTTAGAAACTCTTTTCGAATATTCCAAGGAATATATATGTATCACATCGTATGATATGAATAAAAAGACTATTCATGAAAAATTTGAAGCAACGACTTCTGGAGTGTATCGTGTCCCAATTCGTGCCTTTGAATCATACGCCACTATGTCATGGAAACTGGTTAATCCTAATATATTTGGGTTATGGCATGATCGACTAGGTCACCCAGGAACAACGATGATGCGTAGAATTGCAGAACATACTAAAGGACATCCATTAAATAATACAAAAATGTTGATGTCAAAAGATTATTTCTTTGAATCTTGGTCAAGGGGAAAACTCATTATAATACCTTCTACTGAAAAAGTTGGTTATGAATCACCATCATTTTTACAAAGAATTCATGGCGATATTTGTGGACCAATACATCCTGCAAGTGGACCATTTAGATATTTTATGGTTTTAGTGGACACATCTTGCAGATGGTCACATGTGTGTTTGTTATCCACACATAACATAGCTTTTGCACGTCAGCTAGCACAAATTATTAAACTCCGTGCACATTTCCCTGATTATCCTATCAAAAGTATAAGGATGGATAATGCCGGAGAATTTACATCAAAAACTTTTGATGATTATTGTGTAGCACTGGGAATTAACGTCGAGCACCCAGTACCATACGTTCATACTCAGAACGGATTGGCAGAATCTATGATTAAACGAATCCAAATTATTGCTCGTACCTTGTTGATGAGATCTAAGCTCACTAATGTAGCATGGGGCCATGCGGTATTACATGCATCAGCATTAATAAGATTACGCCCGACGGCTTATCACATGCATTCCCCAATGCAACTGACATTGGGATTTGAACCAAATATTTCGCACCTACGCACATTTGGATGCACTGTACATGTGCCAATTCCTCCTCCTCAGAGGACAAAAATGGGTCCCCAACGCCGACTTGGCATTTACGTTGGTTTCGATTCACCGTCAATTATCAGGTTCCTGGAACCAATGACGGGTGATTTATTCACCGCTAGATTTGCGGATTGTCATTTTGATGAGACAATATTACCAACGATTGGTAAGGACAAAGACGTCCCAAATAATGATAAATCAAAACCAACCAAAGATCTTACATGGTATGAACAACGTTTGTCTCATCTCGACCCTCGTACCTCTGAATGCGAAAATGAGGTCAATAGAATCATCCATCTACAAAACATTGCCAATAGACTCCCTGATGCATTTAATGATGCTAGTAGAGTCACAAAGTCCCATATTCCAGCTGTAAATGCTCCAGCTAGAATTAATATTCTCAATGAAAATGAAAAAGTGGATGATGGTCCCCCAAGACAAAAACGGGGTAGACCAATTGGTTCAAAGGACTATATTCCTCGAAAAAGAAAAGGAAAGTTAGACGAAACCACTAATCAAGTGGGTCCTAGTGAGCAAGCTCCAGATGAATCTGTAGAGCCTTATACTTCAGAAAAAGAAATTTTAAATCCCGGGAACACCGAGAATTCCATAAGTTATTACAATGAAATATGGAATAGAAAGAATATAAGCATTGATAATATTTTTGCATTCTCGGTTGCTCAAGAAATCATATATGATGATTACGATAGTGAACCACGTTCAGTAATAGAATGTCGCCAGAGAAAAGATTGGCCTAAATGGCAAGAAGCCATAAAATCTGAATTATCTTCTTAAGAGAAACGAGATGTATTCGGGCCAATTATTCAGACTCCGGATAATATAAAGCCCGTCGGATACAAGTGGGTATTCATCCGTAAGAGAAATGAGAACAATGAGATTGTAAGATATAAAGCTCGCCTTGTAGCTCAAGGATTTTCTCAACGACCTGGAATTGATTATGATGAAACCTATTCACCAGTAATGGATACAATCACTTTTCGTTTCCTTATTAGTATGGTTGTCCAAGAGAAATTAGACATACGTTTAATGGACGTAGTAACGACATATCTATACAGTTCATTAGATTCTGATATTTATATGAAAATTCCCGATGAATTTAAAATAAGTACACCCAATACTCCTCGTGAGTTGTACTCAGTCAAATTACAGAGATCATTGTATGGTCTTAAGCAATCCGGTCGCATGTGGTATCATAGATTGAGTGAATACCTTATCAAGGAAGGTTATAAAAATGATCAAATTTGCCCATGCGTGTTTATCAAAAAATCTGAATCCGGATTTGCTATTATTGCGGTTTATGTAGGTGATATAAACCTAATTGGCACCCCTGAAGAGCTACAGAATGCTGCTGAATATCTAAAGAAGTAATTTGAGGTCAAAGATCTAGGAAAAACTAAACTATGTCTTGATCTCGAGCTTGAGCATAGAAACGACGGCATACTTATTCATCAATCAGCATACACTCAGAGATTACTCAAAAGATTTAATATGGAGAGTGCTCATCCCTTAAGTACACCTATGGTCGTACGCATTCTAGATCCAAAAAAGGATCCCTTTAGACCTAAAGGACCCGATGAAGAAATTTTTTGTCCAGAAGTACCATATCTTAATGCAATCGGAGCATTATTATATCTAGCACAATGTACCAGACCAGATATCTCTTTTGCAGTAAATGTGCTTGCTAGATATAGTTCTGAACCAACCCGTAGACACTGGAATGGCATAAAGCATATTTTCCGTTACCTTCGTGGTACTACAAATTTGGGATTATTATATTCAAAGAAATCTCCAAACTCGGGATTAATTGGTTATGCCGATGCCGGATATTGATCTGATCCACATAAAGCTCGCTCTCAAACCGGATATTTATTTTGTTATAACGGTACAGCTATATCTTGGCGTTCCACCAAACAGACATTGGTAGCTACTTCTTCAAATCACTCTGAAAATATAGCCCTTTATGAGGCTGGCAGAGAATGTGTTTGGCTAAGATCAGTTATAGCACATATAAAAAATACATGTCAATTAAATCCAGTTACAGAAAGGCCCACTATTATCTATGAAGATAGTGCTGCTTGTATAGCACAAATAAGGGGTGGATATATAAAAGGAGATAAGACCAAGCATATCTCACCAAAATTTTTCCATACGCACGAACTTCAGAAAAGTGGAGAAATAGATGTTCAACAAATTCGTTCATGTCACATCCTTGCCGATTTGTTTACCAAATCATTACCAATATCTACATTTCAAAAATTGGTATACGACATTGGTATGAGACGAGTCAAGGTAAATCAAGATTGACAATTATTTTGGGAAATTTTATAGCTCGTTTTCAGGGGGAGCGATAGTGCGCTGTACTCTTTTTCCCTTATGTCTGGTTTTTATCCCATTGGGTTTTTCCAGCTTGAGGTTTTTAATGAGGCAGCTTATGCACACGACTTCAGATTTGAGTAATGCACTCTTTTTCCTTCTGATAGATTTTGTCCCAATGGGTTTTCCGACTTAAGGTTTTAATGAGGCATAAATTTTTTACTCATTTTAAAATCTATATGTATTGAATGTGTTTCATCCAAGGGGGAGTATTATAATATAATGGACTCAACACAATTATGTGCCAAGTGTAGACACAAGATAGGAGAAAAGGCTAGTGTTGACAAGTGTAGAAATAGGTGTCCTTTGCTTTTCCTAGTGTTGACAAATGTCTAATTGTAATTGGGCAAAAGCCTATAAATAGCAATGTGTGCAAAGTAATACAATACACTATTTTTTGCTGCACTTTCTCTCTCTATACATATATATTTATATTATATTATATTGTGTATAATATTATATTATATTAATTAGTGTGTGTATTTATACATATATACATAACCGTATATACACATATATATACAAGTTCCATATTAAATATTAAAACTAGTTAATATTGATCAATTAATAATATTCACACCATTAGTATTTTTAATAAAATATTTAATTATCTAATATTGATCAATTAATAATATTCACACCATTAGTATTTTTAATAAAATATTTAATTATCTAATATCTATTTTATATATATATATATATATATATATATATATATATATATACTAGGGGAGTCGAACCGCGCTATGCGCAGTACGTAATGCCCGGTAGATATGAAATTTCACAATTTGTTATATATTTTGACGGTCAATTATATTCAATATCATATAGTTAATTTAATGCAAATAGACAATACAATAGAATAAACATAGTTTGACGTAGCATATTACATAAATTGCTTAAGATATTGCCATATGTTGTAAGCAACCACAAAAGAAGTTTTGAGTTCTAGTTTTATACAGAGATATTCAATTCAAAAAGTTGATATAATTAATAGAGGAATGATACTAAAATTACATGGCAATACGTACAAAAATGCTGCCTAATATTGATTTGTTCTACGGCTGTAACCAGCAGTCTAAGTTATAGATCTTTGCTGGTAGATGTTCCACAATCATCTTCGACGGGCAATGATTGATCAACAATATCTATGAAAGAGATACGACA